ATGTTTGGTTTCAGATCATCGGAAAAAAAAAGGATTAGGTGGTCAGAAATTGGGGGAAACCCCCAAAAAAAAAAACCAAATTTTTTCCCTCGCCCAGACCTTTTACACCACAAATTTTTAAGACACTCCACCCCTCAAGACGCTTCAATATTGAATACATATAACGTTTCCCACATTAATTATTGTTCAATACCAAATAAAACTAATGGGGGATGAAATGTCTCAAATTTCTTATAAAGATTGGTGAACTTTCTAAGGGACGAAGTGTCTGCAAAAATTGCCAGGGGTCGGAGTAGTGAACTGTTTGTAAATCGGTCAGAACTTACTTTACTACAATATCATTAATAAAAATAGTGCTTCTACGTGGAGGATTCTTTATTTTAAAAAAATATATCAGTCACCACAAAAAGATATTCTAGCACATATTTTCCACATAAATGTTACTTCCTTATTTTTTACTGATTTTTTTGCTCTATATTAGAAAATATTTTCCGTTTCTTATATTTAATTTGTCGTTCTACTTTTTCTGCTTACGGCTTTTTCTTTTCTTTTTTTTTAAAACGTGTTTGGCTGTACTTCGGATGGGACCAGGTAGGACAAAGTAGTGCAATTATTACGATGATTTATCGTATATATGATATTCATTTGTTTATTTTATCAGTACGATAACTAAAAGGTATTTGCAATTAAGCTGGAACAAAAACGCTCTCAACATATTCCAACATTATGTGTTTGCTTGGTATGATTAAATATTGTACTTTTTGTTGAGATGTTATTCGGTTAGAGCCACTCTTTTCGATCGTTGATGTCGAAATTTTAAATGTAGATGACATAGTTCTGAATCCGCCTGAGGACGCTTCCTTCGCAAAATGGGTGTTGATAAGTTTTTCTGGACATTTCCTCTTATATCATAAATGCAATTTCAATTTAGCCTTAAAGAATTGATTGGTAGCTCAAGTACTTGCGCATAATACAAAGGTTTTCCACTTGAGTGATTTTAGACGAGTTATGGCCCTTGAATATAAAGGTTTTTTTGTGTTATCAGCTAAAAAGAAGCTTGTCTGGACTAATCCTCGGAAACTACTAATCAATTTCATTAAAACTTTACAGGAATTATCTAATGGTTCTATTTTTTAACATTTGTCCGGACTACGAGTACTTCTCGTATACCACTAATGCAATTTCAATGAAACATAATAGGAATGATTAAGCACTTGTACATACTACACGATTTTTCAGGTTGAATGATTTTTGGCTGAGTTGTGGCTATCAAGAGTGGACACATGTTATCACTTATCTATGGTGGCTGATTTGGTACGCTTTTGTGCATCTAGTTGGCACTAGCGATAACACGACAAAGCGGGTTGTCGGACTTTCGGAGCGTTGTCGTGCGGCGCGTTGTCGCGATGTCGCCATGTCGCTTGGCTTATAAGCCAATCCTTCAATTTGAAGCGAGCGACAATGTGACATCGCGACAACACGCCGCACGACAACGCTTCGTTTGTCGTGCCGCGCTACTAAAGACAGGACGACAAGACGAAAGTCCGACAATGATGGCTCTTTATATATCGCCAATGTCAAGTAGCTTTTATATCATTGAACACTCCCACGAACATGATGTTAGTCAATTTCCTCATACCGGTCTAAACATCAGGTAACAGTCTTCCATTATATTGATAAATAATGTATCACCATATAACGTGTTTAACAAATAAAAATTCCTAAATTTGGTTTATTTGAAATTCATCCGATTTTTTTTTTTTTTTTTTTTTTTTTTTTTTTTTTTTTCGTATCAGTGTGTGTTCTACTTGCCGTATTTATCTGGGACTTGAAATCTTAAATCCCAGGTATCAAAAATATTTATTTTTTTATTTGACATGAAAAAAATGCATGTAATATTACTATATTAGTCCCTTTTGTTACTATTTGTATATTTGTAACAATTATAATAATGAATGACAAAGACTTCATTTTGACTATTGTTTTGTATGTTCCAAAGAAAATACATTTAATATTCTAATCTCTAGCAAACCTACCAAAGTTCATGATGAACAATGTTTTTTGTCCTCCCATTTATCTGTGATATACAATTCTGGTAAAATCCAATTAACCACTGAACACTTTATAAGAATATCTAGTCATCAGATAGATGTCTACTAGTTCATCGTGATTTGCTGCATTTCTTGCTTTGACGTCCTTTGATGCTTTGCATGAATGCTTTTCTTGTTATATCATGATATACCATTTGCCGCGAAACATGCAAATAATATTTGAGAAGTAAAGTCCATGAAAGTTTTTGTTTTGGCTTATTTACATATAGATGTTTATTTATCATGGTAAGTTGTTGATATTTGTAGAAAATGAGCAGGATTATAGGTGAAAAAGAATATGTACATGCTTTGATATTTTTATCATCTTATATAACTGACTTTGTAGTGACACTGTTACAATATTGTCATGTCACATAACATTTACAAGTCTTGTAAGTCTTTTTTGTATTCAATGAAAATACTTTCCTTGATATGTTGGCATCAGTGAAAGCATATTGAATATTGAAAATTTGATATCTGGCCCCTCTCTAATGGACAGTGCAAACAAAGTATAATTATGCAAAATATGATTTACAAAACATTCGGAATAATGTACAATAGTACTTCATCTGAATAGAACATGACCCTTGCGTAGGAATGATTTGGTAAGGCATCTGTAATGAGCGCAATTTTTTGCGCGGAGCTTCTCAATTGCTGCATTGCAGCAACATTTGTACTTGTTCCTACTAGACATACCCGCATTAAATTTATTCATGTGATGAATGTCATTATAGTACTTTTTATCTATGTACAAAATTCATTTATTTCATGCTTTCCAGTGTTTTATTGTAATATATCAGATGATTATATTATGATAAACCACTAGGGAAATTTATAAAATATAATTTTCACTGTAGCCTGACTATATCTGAATGCGGATGAAAAGAAAATCATAACTTAATGGAATAACAGGCACAAATAAATGGCGTCATACGTAAATTTTGCTACTTTAGGAAAAGAAAGTCGATGTCACCATACATCATGTTAAAAATGTAACAAAATTAGAGAAATTTAACAGAACTATATTTCAAAATTGATGATGTGACGTCATAATGTGATGACGTCACAAAGGAGAATGCGCGACGTTACGCGGCAAAATCAGTAAAAATACTTAAAATCACTTAAATAGCATGAAATAAAAAGAAAATTTATTTGTTTTACATATTATAAGATTGAAATATATTTCATTCGTGAACACCAGCTTTTATATTTTTACTCGTGGCTACGCCACTCGTGAAAATATTGTATCTGGTGTTCACTCAGTGAAATTATATTTCAATCTTACATGCAAAACAAACAAATATCCTCTATATATTGTCATATAAAGGACATATTTACTGAAAGTAGTTTTCTGATTCAACGTTGTTTTTTTTTCAAAACGGATACATACTAGCATTTTTTTTCACATTTTTATTTCGCCAACGCTCAAGTTCTAAACTATGAGCATAACATCCATAACAACTATACATATTCCTTTATTTCCTGATAAGTAGATAATTTATATTTAATTCAGACTCGGAACAAGTTTTACCCAGACTAAGATACCCAGAGTAAGAAAACAGTTTTGGACTATTTCATACGTATAAAAACATTTTATATTCAAACAAAAATATTTTTCATTAACAGCAGTTTGTACATTCCATACATATGAAAAAACATTTTGATATCAAGGTTTTTCCGTCACTAAATTTATATGCCTTACGGAATTTAGTGATTTATAGCATATCATTTTTACAAGTCAATTTAAACATTGGAAACTGACCGCAATCGCCTATTACAGCTGTATTGCAGGCATATAATGGCACAGAAAGAAGTAAACGCATAATTATAAATTTGCTCTAGGCATTCGTGCGTTTATAAAACCAATATTACTGACATATATTAAGAATTGGAACAACTTCTGCACCAAACATTTTAAAGAAACAATCAATTTTTATGGCATACATTTTTAGATGAAAGTACAGTGAGAACAGAAACTCCTTTTTCTAGTAATACGATTTCTGATTTATGCAGGGACAGGTTAAGGAAAAGTAAAGACAACTACGACTAATTAACATTAATAAAATAGGCAAGGTTCATTAAAATTAAAACCTTTTCAATAGTCAAAACGTTAATCATCCTGATCCGTTAGAATCATTTAATCTTTATTGAACAATAATTGTTATAAAAATATTATTTTTATTTAGAAAAATGGTTTTATAAAGGTTTTATACGCAAATTTTTAAAATTTAAAACCCCCTCAGTGTGAAAATTACCAAATTTTATTTTAATATTAAAAATGTGTATTTTTAAAATTTAAATTGGAAAAAATAAAATTTTAATTGTTACACTTTCTCTCATATAAAAATTAAAACCAAAAATTTAAAATTAAAGTTATTTTCTTTAACTTTCTGTGCAACTTATTTTTAGCGTATTTTTCATCGCTTTACCTGCTGAATAAAATCATCTGCTTTGCTGCTCGTCTCAGTCCCAAAAAAAAGAGGGTATTTGCTGGGTTTTAAATCGAAAATTTATTATTTAAGAAGGGTGAAATTGACGCTTGATCAATATGGTATTTGCTTTCTATCTTTGGGCCCTTTTGTATTTTTTCCTATCCGGAACATATTTGTAACGTCTTCGTTTACCTTTTCACACAATTTGTCAGCCATTGTAAGAATAAGTGTTCTTGGGACGTCTAATGAAACGAAACATATAAATATTAAAATGTGTAAAATAATACTTCTCTATTTTATTAAACACAATTAAACCTGCAATATTTGTATTCGCGCGTATGCCATGGTAAAATAAAAATGTTTGAAGCTGATTTGTTAAAGATATTTAAATGATTTGACAAGATGATTATATTGTTTCAATTAGCCAAAGATATGTAAATATGCAATAGATCCAAAAATGAGACAAACATACGTTCTAATCGAAGCTTGCTTTGAAGTTGACCAATTTTGCGTACAAAAGCGTGCGGTATATCATTATAAATATCAACAGTGCTGATAACAAAGATCACGCAATGAATCACATCCATTGGCTCTGGTTCCTTTCGATAAAATAGACTCTGTGTTGTAATTGGACAGGCAGGATGAAACTGAAAAATAAAGGTAAGTAATGTGTTTTGACAACAATATTTAATATCATTTTCATTTTAGCAGATTGATTAAAACATAACCGCAACATAATTATAAAATATTATATCGTTAGCAATATTATAAATAATTCTGTACAGTTTTGAAGAACCTGCGAATTGAGCAAAATAGGTTCGTAATGGATTTTGACAAAATGTATGTGAGTTACTGAAAGGTCTTATTACAACACGCAATATTATATTAAGTTTAAACCTAACTTAAGCAAAATTGTAACGATAAAACTAACATTATCATTGCAATATCGTATTAAAATCGTCCGAAAATTAAAAAATACCTGGTAATTATTTTTAATATGACCCTTCACTAGGTAAATGAAGTCATCAATGTGGAATCCAACATCATTATTTGGCTCTATTCCCATTGTGTCTCGAAGTATAAAATTCTTTAAAAGTGTCTTTTGTTTGTATCCTTTGTACTAAAAATAAGATTTTAATTAAAAATCGTAATTCGGCATTAAAATACTACAATATATTGTTTGAGTACACGGGATATACACAAATAAAAGTACATTTGTAAATAACAAATGGGGCTGATTAAATTATGATGCATTTTTCTCTTACATTTCTCTCCTTCATTTTCTTGACAAATAGCAGTGATACTCGTGAATTTCGTTTTTTTCAACTGACAGAATTGATTCGGACATTCATTTTGTAAATATTAAAACTTTAATTCTTCTGAACTGAAAAATTGTGATAGATCATGTATGTTGGGATCATTTACTTAATATCACTTATTTTAAATACAAACACATAAGAATCCCATTACTGTTTTACCTCAATAGTATAACTTGATGCAGAGCTTCCAGCCTGGGCCCTTGAGACCTTTTTCCCTTCTCCAATAGAAAAAACGGCATTTATAAAAGATGATTTGCCAGACCCAATTGGCCCTGAGAGAAGTATATTTGGCGTCCCGTTTGGTTTGATTTGTTCTATGTCTGCAATGATCCTCTCCTCCAACTTGATAAAGATATATACAAGAGGGCCATGATGGCCCTGAGTCGCTAACCAGAAACAATTGCTTTTCAATGTTGGAAATTATTTTTCAAATGAACTTGCTGAAAGGCAAGTCCAGCTCTTTCGACAAGTTCATCTCAACTTTAACTTGCTCCTCTTGTAACTAACTTTCACAACACTGATTGTTTTGGAAGTTTTTTGTCTTCAAAATAAACAATAGTGCCACTAAGATGTCCCTAGATCACTCATCTAACCGATCATTTCATTATTCACTACATAAATTGAAATATTTGCCCTAATATTTTGGAAAGGCATTGTTAAAAATATCTATGTTGAAAGTTTGTTCCTGAGACTATGTAGAATATATGCAGAATAAATGACCACTAGAGCAGGGTCAATTTGATGGGACATTTTTAAAACTTTTGATAATGAATACACAAAATGTCACACGGAAAGTCCGTAAGGTGTAGGTGTTTGAAGTTTACAATTTGGGATAACACATTTTTTATATATTCTATATGGTAACTTAACTGTACCTCAAAAATAGACAATAGGTCGCACAATGCAAAAATATCAAAAGTAGGTCATCTGATATAAAAGTTCAATTCAGCATCAGAAATTACACCCCTTGTCCAAATTTCAAGTATACATTTCATAAACAAGTAAGTAGGTCAAATTATATTAAAAAGAGGTCAGATGGTATAAAAAAACGATTAAGAATCAGAAATTACACCTCTGGTCTAAATTTCAAGTCTGAATGTCAAAAAACAAAAAAGTCGGTCAAATGGTATCAATAATATCAAAGGTAGGTCAGGTGATATCAATATTCAATTCAATATCAAAAATTACACCCGTAGTCCAAATTTCAAGTCTGAGGAAGTAGGTAAAATGATATCAAAAATATCAAAAGTAGATTAGATTTTATCAAAATTTGATTTGACATCAGAAATTACACCCTTGGTCCAAATTCCATGTCTGTATTTCAAAAAGCAAGCAAGTAGGTTAACTAATATCAATAATATCAAAAGTAGATCACTTGATATCAAAATTCAATATGGCATCAGAAATTACTACCATGGTCCAAATTTCAAGTCTATACATCAAAACATCAAGAAAATAGGTCAAGCGATATAAAAATATCAAAAGTTGGTCAGTATCAAAATTTAATTCGGCATCAGATAATACACCCTGGTCCAAATAAAAAATCTGAATATAAAAAAAACAACAGAAAAATAGGTCAAATTGTATCATTAATATCAAAGTTCAATTCAACATCAAAAAGTAAACAAATTACAACCCTGGTTCAAATTTCAAGTCTGTACATTAAAGACAAAATTATTATGTCAAGCATTATAAAAATATCAAAAGAAGGCCAGTTCATATCAAAATTCAATTCAAGATTAAACCCCTTGTCCAAATTTCAAGTAGGTGCATAAAATACGAGAATCTATGTCAAACAATATCAAATGATAATATCAAAAGTAGTCAGTTGATATCTTAATTAAATTTGCATCAGAAATTACATTCCTGGTCCAAATTTCCAGTCTGTACATCAAATAACAAGAAAGTAGGTCAAATGATTTCATAAATATCAATAACAGCTCAAATAATACAAACATTCAATTATGCACATGAAACTTCAGGTTCAACAGTATGTCCCAAAATTTATTGTAAAGTGCTTTTCGAAGTTCCAATTCAACAAAAAATGACAAAATATAACAATGTTTAAAAAAATCAATAAAAATTGAGCAAACAAACTCATCTTTGTTAGTACTGTACAGAAAACATATGTTATCTTCTATAGGCCTTATTTTATTTCCTGGGGAAAATTCTCTACTCTGCCCTAAAACTGACCATTTAATTATGTATTACGGTGTCCAAATTCTAGAGCTGAAATATATTTACACATTATTTTATTGTTACCTAGCTTAACAAGATTGCACTTGCGAACACTAAATAGTACCAGAAATAGACTTTTTCTATACAATTTAACTTTGCAACAGTGCAGTAGTGTCTAGTGAAGTCTTATTTTAGCATGTCAAATGAAATACAATGTGCAGATATATTTACTGTTCACATACAAAGCACATGGCCGCAAATAATTTCTTAAACAAACATGTCATGACATTAAGACTTAATCCAAAGAAGACATTCCAACATGAGTTGTTTGCCTTTCATTATGAAAGATATACTATGCTTATCCTTGAGTAGAAATTTATAAAGAGACTGTGTATCCAATATCAATATTTTCAACAATGGGCATACAATATCTTTAAACTATAATTTCAAGAAATGCCATGGCCTGGGGCATTTAAGCTTTAGCTTTCAATAGGAGATGATGTTTAAAGATTTTTTTTTAAAGGGGGCATTCAAATTAATATGAGCAAACTTGATAAATAAGCACCTAAGAATACTTAAGAGACAATTTTGGTGATCATCCATCAATTAGTTCTGTAAAAGGAGACGTTTAATGGTATTTCTATTTCCAGCATTAGCGGCCCCTAAAATGGGCCAATCAAATTATTATGAGCAAACTTGATAAAAGACTACCTAAGAATGCTCCAGATAAAAGTTGGTAATCATCCATCCTTTAATTCTGTAGAAGGAAATGTTTAAAGGTATTTCTATTTTTAGGTTTAGAGGCCCCTTAAAAGAGGTCAATTAAATTAATTTGAGCAAACTTGATAAAAGACTGCCTAAGAATGCTACAGACAAAGTTTGATGATCATCCATAAATTAGTTCTGTAAAAGAAGATGTCTAAAGGTATTTCTATTTTAGCTCTAGAGAACCCTAAATAGGGGCAATGTAATTAATATGAGTTAATTTCATAAAACGACTACCTTAGAATGCTACAGAAAAAGTTTAATGGTCATCCATAAATAAGTTCTGTAGAAGGAGGTTTTTTCTATTTTTAGCTCTCATAACCCCATAAAGAACCAATTAAAATGATATGAGCAAATTTTGGTGTGACTGTCACACGGATACTACAGACCAAGTTTGAAGTAAATCTGTCCAGCGGTTTCAGAGGAGAAGATGATTGTTGACGCATGGCGATGGACGACGGACGCCGGACCATCCCCATTTGATACTTATAGCTCATACTTAACCTTCGGTTCTGGTGAGCTAAAAAATAGCCGTCGTTTTAAAACAAACAATTTTCTGAAAGCAAACATTTAAAATATATGTCAGCTTACATGAGAAAAAAATATAAATGACGCAGACCATATTGTTTTCAATGCGTTGTAATTCTTTTTGAGTGGAAATTGTTTTTTCGATTGATAAAATGAACATTCTTGCACATAACAAATGCTCAATTATGTATTTTACTATAAAATAAATCAGTTATCATATCGTAATCAAAATGAATATATTTAAATGTTTACACTATAATTCCACGTCGAAGGTTCCCTCCATGGTCTATCAAAAAGTGGATTTTCTGTCTTTTGGGGTACTGGTGTTTGCGGTTCAGGTTCTACATGTTCTAAATAACGAGAATTCAAAATACTTCTTCATTTATTTTTCGTTTGTTGTCATGCAATTCAATATAAACCAGTATAAATCAATCTGCTAAATATCATGTTATCAGACTGCCTTCCCGACCCAATCAAATTTTTCAAGTAACACACTTAGACCCCTTCACTTGTATACCCCTAAGAATATTAAGATGACTTATAGACCTCTAGTGGGTAAGACATTTTTCGATCCTTATATATATTTCTTATACTTTAGAAGGCCAGTAAGATACTTCGAAAAATATATTTAAGCAAATAGTAAATATTTTAAATTTCAAACAAAATATTATATGATAGTAAAGATGTATTTTTGATTATTTAGTTTAAAAAAAATTCTGAGACATGATATACATGCATACTATAAGGCGTAGATAAGAAGTGAAGAAATAAAAATATTTTGTACGTTGTGAGTTAATTCATATTTTCGATTTCTATTTGTAAAGATTTAGTTTATTTGTCCGTGTGAAATATATGCATATTTTATTACCAATGGATATCTATACATTTCTACTTTGATTTAGGGTTTTAGTGTCGGGAAAGGGAAAGGGCGGGGGTGGGGCAAATAAGATTAAACAAAACTAGGGGCAAATGGAAGATACTTACCGTAGACGATAAAACAACAGGAAGTGACACAAAAGTGTCACCATAATAGTATAAAAAACAAACAAGACATACAACTGAAGAAAACAGAGGGGCACCGCCTTGGAACAGTCAACAGCATAAGCACTGCTGGGGAGTTTAAAGCGATTATTGGTGCACCAAACCTTACACTTAGCCCCATCATGTTCCTTTCAAACGAGGCAAATTCAATAAGACGAATCCCCGCTAACCGAAATTCTAACATTTAGTAAAGTTGCAAAAGGTGAAATAACTAAAACACAGAAATGATCATGTAGATACATATAAAAATAAACCCAATGACCATAACAAAAGTACTCAATATCTTAAAGAAAGACAGAGCAACGAGAAAATCGCTTACAAGGAACCGACGAAGCAATCAGAGGACAAGAATTAGGAAAATTTAGCCCCGATGTGTTTAAGCACTGTCCATCATAGTGTCGCTATTAACCCCTGTACATATATCACTAAACTGTTGTTGTTGCCCTAAATAAACAGTAGATGTATTTCATTTTTCACGGAGTTTTTGTTCGGGAAATGAATATACGTTACATTACTTATAATGCATTTTGTTTGTTCTTTTTATTACATTTTCCAAATATCTATATTTAAGTTGACATAAATAATACATATACGTCCGATAAATAAAAAAAATAGGTTTCTTTTATGGAGGAAGGCCATCTAAAATCAGTATGACTTCCTGTTCAATTATCATTAGTCATTTTAAAATTAAAAACTAAAATCTGGGAATCTCATTTGCCATTCTAAAATAATATGCAAAGGGTAGTTCTTGCTATTCTAAAATTATATTTTAAGGACAGTTTTTGCTATTATGAATTAAATGTAA